CTGTGCTCGTCCCATCAACCTGTGAGCGTCCCATCAACCTGTGAGCGTCCCATCAACCTGTGCTCGTCCCATCAACCTGTGCTCGTCCCATCAACCTGTGAGCGTCCCATCAACCTGTGAGCGTCCCATCAACCTGTGAGCGTCCCATCAACCTGTGAGCGTCCCATCAACCTGTGAGCGTCCCATCAACGTGTGCTCGTCCCATCAACCTGTGAGCGTCCCATCAACCTGTGAGCGTCCCATCAACCTGTGCTCGTCCCATCAACCTGTGAGCGTCCCATCAACCTGTGAGCGTCCCATCAACCTGTGAGCGTCCCATCAACCTGTCAGCGTCCCATCAACCTGTGCTCGTCCCATCAACCTGTGAGCGTCCCATCAACCTGTGAGCGTCCCATCAACCTGTGAGCGTCCCATCAACCTGTGAGCGTCCCATCAACGTGTGCTCGTCCCATCAACCTGTGAGCGTCCCATCAACCTGTGAGCGTCCCATCAACCTGTGCTCGTCCCATCAACCTGTGAGCGTCCCATCAACCTGTGAGCGTCCCATCAACCTGTGAGCGTCCCATCAACCTGTGCTCGTCCCATCAACCTGTGCTCGTCCCATCAACCTGTGAGCGTCCCATCAACCTGTGAGCGTCCCGTCAACCTGTGAGCGTCCCATCAACCTGTGAGCGTCCCATCAACCTGTGAGCGTCCCATCAACCTGTGAGCGTCCCATCAACCTGTGCGCGTCCCATCAACCTGTGCTCGTCCCATCAACCTGTGAGCGTCCCATCAACCTGTGCGCGTCCCATCAACCTGTGAGCGTCCCATCAACCTGTGCGCGTCCCATCAACCTGTGCTCGTCCCATCAACCTGTGAGCGTCCCATCAACCTGTGCTCGTCCCATCAACCTGTGCTCGTCCCATCAACCTGTGAGCGTCCCATCAACCTGTGAGCGTCCCATCAACCTGTGCTCGTCCCATCAACCTGTGCTCGTCCCATCAACCTGTGAGCGTCCCATCAACCTGTGAGCGTCCCATCAACCTGTGCTCGTCCCGTCAACCTGTGAGCGTCCCATCAACCTGTGAGCGTCCCATCAACCTGTGCTCGTCCCATCAACCTGTCAGCGTCCCATCAACCTGTGAGCGTCCCATCAACCTGTGCTCGTCCCATCAACCTGTGAGCGTCCCATCAACCTGTGAGCGTCCCATCAACCTGTGCTCGTCCCATCAACCTGTGCTCGTCCCATCAACCTGTGAGCGTCCCATCAACCTGTGAGCGTCCCATCAACCCGTGAGCGTCCCATCAACCTGTGAGCGTCCCATCAACCTGTGCGCGTCCCATCAACTTGTGCTCGTCCCATCAACCTGTGAGCGTCCCATCAACCTGTGCGCGTCCCATCAACCTGTGAGCGTCCCATCAACCTGTGAGCGTCCCATCAACCTGTGCTCGTCCCATCAACCTGTGAGCGTCCCATCAACCTGTGCTCGTCCCATCAACCTGTGCTCGTCCCATCAACCTGTGAGCGTCCCATCAACCTGTGAGCGTCCCATCAACCTGTGCTCGTCCCATCAACCTGTGCTCGTCCCATCAACCTGTGAGCGTCCCATCAACCTGTGAGCGTCCCATCAACCTGTGCTCGTCCCATCAACCTGTGAGCGTCCCATCAACCTGTGCTCGTCCCATCAACCTGTGCTCGTCCCATCAACCTGTCAGCGTCCCATCAACCTGTGAGCCTCCCATCAACCTGTGCTCGTCCCATCAACCTGTGAGCGTCCCATCAACCTGTGCTCGTCCCATCAACCTGTGAGCGTCCCATCAACCTGTGAGCGTCCCATCAACCTGTGCTCGTCCCATCAACCTGTGCTCGTCCCATCAACCTGTGAGCGTCCCATCAACCTGTGAGCGTCCCATCAACCTGTGAGCGTCCCATCAACCTGTGAGCGTCCCATCAACCTGTGAGCGTCCCATCAACGTGTGCTCGTCCCATCAACCTGTGAGCGTCCCATCAACCTGTGAGCGTCCCATCAACCTGTGAGCGTCCCATCAACCTGCGCGTCCCATCAACCTGTGCTCGTCCCATGAACCTGTGAGCGTCCCATCAACCTGTGCTCGTCCCATCAACCTGTGAGCGTCCCATCAACCTGTGCTCATCCCATCAACCTGTGAGCGTCCCATCAACCTGTGCGCGTCCCATCAACCTGTGAGCGTCCCATCAACCTGTGAACGTCCCATCAACCTGTGCTCGTCCCATCAACCTGTGAGCGTCCCATCAACCTGTGAGCGTCCCATCAACCTGTGAGCGTCCCATCAACCTGTGAGCGTCCCATCAACCTGTGAGCGTCCCATCAACCTGTGAGCGTCCCATCAACCTGTGCTCGTCCCATCAACCTGTGCTCGTCCCATCAACCTGTGAGCGTCCCATCAACCTGTGAGCGTCCCGTCAACCTGTGAGCGTCCCATCAACCTGTGAGCGTCCCATCAACCTGTGAGCGTCCCATCAACCTGTGAGTGTCCCATCAACCTGTGCGCGTCCCATCAACCTGTGCTCGTCCCATCAACCTGTGAGCGTCCCATCAACCTGTGCGCGTCCCATCAACCTGTGAGCGTCCCATCAACCTGCGCGTCCCATCAACCTGTGCTCGTCCCATCAACCTGTGAGCGTCCCATCAACCTGTGCTCGTCCCATCAACCTGTGAGCGTCCCATCAACCTGTGCTCATCCCATCAACCTGTGAGCGTCCCATCAACCTGTGCGCGTCCCATCAACCTGTGAGCGTCCCATCAACCTGTGAGCGTCCCATCAACCTGTGCTCGTCCCATCAACCTGTGAGCGTCCCATCAACCTGTGAGCGTCCCATCAACCTGTGAGCGTCCCATCAACCTGTGAGCGTCCCATCAACCTGTGAGCGTCCCATCAACCTGTGAGCGTCCCATCAACCTGTGCTCGTCCCATCAACCTGTGCTCGTCCCATCAACCTGTGAGCGTCCCATCAACCTGTGAGCGTCCCGTCAACCTGTGAGCGTCCCATCAACCTGTGAGCGTCCCATCAACCTGTGAGCGTCCCATCAACCTGTGAGTGTCCCATCAACCTGTGCGCGTCCCATCAACCTGTGCTCGTCCCATCAACCTGTGAGCGTCCCATCAACCTGTGCGCGTCCCATCAACCTGTGCTCGTCCCATCAACCTGTGAGCGTCCCATCAACCTGTGCTCGTCCCATCAACCTGTGAGCGTCCCATCAACCTGTGCTCGTCCCATCAACCTGTGCTCGTCCATCAACCTGTGAGCGTCCCATCAACCTGTGAGCGTCCCATCAACCTGTGCTCGTCCCATCAACCTGTGCTCGTCCCATCAACCTGTGAGCGTCCCATCAACCTGTGAGCGTCCCATCAACCTGTGCTCGTCCCGTCAACCTGTGAGCGTCCCATCAACCTGTGAGCGTCCCATCAACCTGTGCTCGTCCCATCAACCTGTCAGCGTCCCATCAACCTGTGAGCGTCCCATCAACCTGTGCTCGTCCCATCAACCTGTGAGCGTCCCATCAACCTGTGAGCGTCCCATCAACCTGTGCTCGTCACATCAACCTGTGCTCGTCCCATCAACCTGTGAGCGTCCCATCAACCTGTGAGCGTCCCATCAACCTGTGAGCGTCCCATCAACCTGTGAGCGTCCCATCAACCTGTGAGCGTCCCATCAACCTGTGCTCGTCCCATCAACCTGTGAGCGTCCCATCAACCTGTGAGCGTCCCATCAACCTGTGCTCGTCCCATCAACCTGTGAGCGTCCCGTCAACCTGTGAGCGTCCCATCAACCTGTGAGCGTCCCATCAACCTGCGCGTCCCATCAACCTGTGCTCGTCCCATCAACCTGTGAGCGTCCCATCAACCTGTGCTCGTCCCATCAACCTGTGAGCGTCCCATCAACCTGTGCTCGTCCCATCAACCTGTGAGCGTCCCATCAACCTGTGCGCGTCCCATCAACCTGTGATCGTCCGATCAACCAGTGAGCGTCCCATCAACCTGTGCTCGTCCCATCAACCTGTGAGCGTCCCATCAACCTGTGAGCGTCCCATCAACCTGTGAGCGTCCCATCAACCTGTGAGCGTCCCATCAACCTGTGAGCGTCCCATCAACCTGTGAGCGTCCCATCAACCTGTGCTCGTCCCATCAACCTGTGCTCGTCCCATCAACCTGTGAGCGTCCCATCAACCTGTGAGCGTCCCGTCAACCTGTGAGCGTCCCATCAACCTGTGAGCGTCCCATCAACCTGTGAGCGTCCCATCAACCTGTGAGCGTCCCATCAACCTGTGCGCGTCCCATCAACCTGTGCTCGTCCCATCAACCTGTGAGCGTCCCATCAACCTGTGCTCGTCCCATCAACCTGTGAGCGTCCCATCAACCTGTGCTCGTCCCATCAACCTGTGAGCGTCCCATCAACCTGTGAGCGTCCCGTCAACCTGTGAGCGTCCCATCAACCTGTGAGCGTCCCATCAACCTGTGAGCGTCCCATCAACCTGTGAGCGTCCCATCAACCTGTGCGCGTCCCATCAACCTGTGCTCGTCCCATCAACCTGTGAGCGTCCCATCAACCTGTGAGCGTCCCATCAACCTGTGAGCGTCCCATCAACCTGTGAGCGTCCCATCAACCTTTGAGCGTCCCATCAACCTGTGAGCTTCCCATCAACCTGTGAGCGTCCCATCAACCTGTGAGCGTCCCATCAACATGTGAGCGTCCCATCAACCTGTGAGCGTCCCATCAACCTGTGAGCGTCCCATCAACCTGTGAGCGTCCCATCAACCTGTGCGCGTCCCATCAACCTGTGCTCGTCCCATCAACCTGTGAGCGTCCCATCAACCTGTGCTCGTCCCATCAACCTGTGAGCGTCCCATCAACCTGTGCTCCGTGTGTCAGCTGTGCTGCTCCTCTCTCTCCCCCCCCTCCCCCCCCCCTCCCTGCAGCAACCTGGCCAACAACATGCTCACCGGCCACCTGCCTCAGCAGATCGCCAATACCTCCCGGCTGCAGTCCCTGTGAGCCGCCACTCCCACTGCTCTCTACCGTTCATGCTAGGGCAGCTCTCCTTGCTCCTCACACTCCCTTTCTCCTCTCATTTCCATGCATGTGACCACCTGTACCCCCACCTGCACCCGGACCTCACCTCTTCCCACCTCTGTCCACTTCTTCCCACCTCTGTCCACCTCTGCCCACCTCTGTTCACCTCTCCACGAGCTGCAGGTTCCTGGCGGACAACAACCTGACGGGCGCCATTCCGGACATGGCAGGGCTGCCAAGCCTGGTGGCGCTCTCCCTCTACGACAACGACTTCACTGCCGTGCCGCCCGCCCTGCTCAACCACACCAACGTCACTCTGCAGTGAGTGCGGTGCAGTTCGGTGCAGTGAGCACGGTGCAGTGAGCACGGTGCAGTGAGCACGGTGCAGTGAGTGCAGCAGAGAAAGAGAGCACCACCTCGATGCATGGGCAGCATTGTCGCCATGACCGTTCCAATGAGGTCACCACCACCGCCATCACCATCCACTGCACACCTTCCTCGAATGGTCCTTTACTAACTAGCAAGTAGTACAGTCTGCATCACCTCTTCCTATGCCCCACCCCCACCCTCCTTCCCCTCCAGGCTGTACGGCAGCGACCTCTGCAAGCCCTTCTGCACAGAAACCGCTCAGCACTGTCCTTTCTTCCCCCCCCCATTTCCTCCTTCCCTTTCCTCCCCACCCCCCAGACTATACGGCAACGACCTGTGCAAGCCCTTCCGCGCGGAGATCGTGCAGCAGTGCTCCCCGCCGCGCCCGCTCACGCAGTACACAGCGAGCGCCATCTGCCCCGAGCTCGCGTGCGCCAGCGACCTCTTCCGCCCCAGCCAGCCGCTGTTCCGCGACGCCAGCGAGTGCGTGTGCGTGTCGCCACTGCGCGCCGAGCTGGGGCTGTACCTCACGGACCTCGTGGTGTTCTCCGCCGACCTCGTGGAGGGCCTGGAGGACAAGCTCTTCTCGCAGCTCACCACCCGCGCGCACATCAACATCACGCGCTATCAGGTGCGTCGCCACTGCGCGCCGAGCTAGGGCTGTACCTCGCGGACCGTGTCGTCTGTTTCTCGAGAATTCTCGAAAAGCAGATCGCGGACGTCGTGGTGTTCACGGACGACCTCGTGGAGAGCCTGGAGGGGAAGCTCTTCTCGCAGCTGACGGGGAGGGCGCACATCAACATCACTCGCACGCAGGTGCGCAAAGCTCCCTTGCCCTTGCGCCCTCACGCCACTTCCCACCCTTCATTCCTCCTCCCACCCCTCAATCGCCCTCCGAACCCTCATGTCGTCATTTCCCCGTTCCCCCTCGCACCCCTCACGTCCCCTCGGCAGTAGGCTGGGCCAACAAGCGGTATTAGAGTCAAAGGTCTCGGGTTTGAGTCCCAGTGTGTGCGAGAATGGGGCAAGATCCCTAATGAGCCCCTAATGAGTTATGTGTATGGGTATCCACCATACAACATGCCCAGTCCGTACCACGCTGTGCCAACACATCCCCCCTCACACCCCTTATTCCCCTTTGCACCCCACAGGTGCAAGTGACGGGCATCAGCAGGCGCGCGTCACTGGCGTCTGTGGCATCAACATTTGCACGAGTCCACGCTCCTCTTACCCCTTTTCACCCGCTCTCACTCACCCACTCCACAGGTGCAAGTGACGGGCATCAGCAGCCGCGCATCGCTGGCATCACTGGCATCAACATTCGCCTCAGACCACACCACCCACGAGTCAACGCTCATCATCACCGCGCTCTTCTTCCCGCCCGCCGGGGACGACTCCTGGCTCCCAAGCGACACGCCGCGCGCCATCCGTGCGGCGCTCTCCACGCGCGACCCGCTGCTGCGCGCCAACCTGGACGAGTTCGGGTCGTACCGCGTTGAGGCCTTCTACGGCCCCGCCCGTGAGTCATTGGGGGAAGAGGGTGGGCGGAAATGGGTGGAGGATGGGGAGGGGAAGGGGGGGGAAGGGGGGGAGGGGGTGAGGGGAAGGGTGGAAGAGGCATGGGAGTTTTCCACGGTCCATCTGAAACGCCCGAATTATTCTCAATATCCTGATTATTCTACGATCATTTTGACCGCATCCTTCAAAAACCTGGACATGAGACAAAACAAACAGGAGTGTTGAAGAAATATTCAACCTGCCATTGTGAGCCCTGGTGTGGGGGCAAGAGGTGTGTGGGGGATTGGGAGTGACGTGTTGAAAGTGATGGGGTGGGTGGGAGGCACGGAGGTTGTGAGTGGGGTTGTCAGGTGTGTGCATGTGTTCCATGCGGTGGAGGACCTCCAAGGTCACACAGACACTTGAACAATACTTTCCCTATTTCCTCCCACTTTCCTCCACGTTTCCTCCACGTTTCCTCCACGTTTCCTCCACGTTTCCTCCACGTTTCCTCCACGTTTCCTCCACGTTTCCTCCACGTTTCCTCCACGTTTCCTCCACGTTTCCTCCACGTTTCCTCCACGTTTCCTCCACGTTTCCTCCACGTTTCCTCCACGTTTCCTCCACGTTTCCTCCACGTTTCCTCCACGTTTCCTCCACGTTTCCTCCACCTTTCCTCCACGTTTCCTCCACGTTTCCTCCACGTTTCCTCCACCTTTCCTCCACGTTTCCTCCACGTTTCCTCCATGTTTCCTCCCTACTGTCTTCATCACCGTTCATCCGCTCCCCACGCTTCCCCCCGCCCTGCCCGCCCTCTCCTCCCTCAATGCACCGCCGTGCAGCGTACAAGCCCCCCGAGCAGGCCTCGTCAGCGCTGGGCCCGGGGGCCATCGCGGCCATCGCCATCTGCTGCGCCACCCTCGTCATCGCCCTCGTGCTCGTGCTGCTCTTTCGTCCCTGGGAGAAGCGAGGTGAGCGGGCGAGGTGGGAGAAGCAAGATGAGAGCACGGGGATTATGGAGGTGGGGAAAGTGCTGTAGGAAGGCAAGGGACGGCAGCAAGGGTGGGAACGGGTGAGGGAAGAGAAAGGAAGAGTTGATTCGCAGGGGAGGAAAATGTGCTTGTCAGAAGGGGAGTGACTCACTGCAAGTGAGCAAGGCACGGTAGGCGGTGAGCTGATGACCAGGCACGGCTGCAAATGAGGACTTGGAGGTCATCACCTCATGACCTCGTCCATGCTCCCCCGTTATCTGTGTATATATGTGGGTAACCCTTGTGTGCAACTCTATGGCTGTGCTTGTTTGAGCCTCATCGCACATCGCTGTCATCCACACTGTCTGCCAAGGGAAGAGGCTGGCAATAAACAAAAGGCAGGAGGCAGGAGGCAGGAGGCAGGAGGCAGGAGGCAGGAGGCAGGAGGCAGGAGGCAGCAGAGCTAGTACGGCTACAGAAGCGCCTTGGGTGATCTAGTTGCATACATAGCCGCCCTCCCCCATTCACCGCCCTCCTCTGTTCGACACCTCCCCTCTCCATCCCCACCTACACTCGCTGTCCCTTCCCTTGTCGTCCACGTTTCCCCATTCACCACCCTTCCCCACTCATCGCCCCCCTGGCAGGGTGGAGGAGCGCGGACTACTCGTTGCTGGAGGGAATGAGCCTGCAGCACACCCGATGACCTCGCCCCCCTCCGTACCTCTCTTACATCCCCCATCCATGCTCCCCCACTCATGGCCGCACAGCAGGGTGGAGCAGCGCGGACTACTCGTTGCTGGAGGGCATCAGCCTGCAGCACGCGCGGCGCTACTCGCTGCAGCAGCTGCACGACGCCACCCACGGCTTCGATGACCACCGCGTGCTGGGGCAGGGCGGATTCGGCAAGGTACTAGAGTGTGCGTGGGGAAGGTCGGTGTGACAGCATGTAGATTGCAACCTCGCCCTGCGTGCCCACCCACTGGTGGCTAGCAACGAGGCACACCACGACTGAGCCGTCCTCCGGACACTCCCTTCCCACCCTTCTTTTCTCCCTGCCCGGCGCGCTCTCCTGCCCCTTGTATGCCATGGTACCGCCTGTTAGAGTTAGCCCTCAACCTCCATCTTTTGCCCTTTCTCGGATGTACTTAAGAGTCTTGAGCTCATCTCGCAATGCATCAAGTATACCTCAAGCTCTTACACCTCCACCATCAGCCGCGGCCAGTCAGTGAAGCCTGCGACGTGGACGCACCCACCCACTTCCACTTGCTTTCCCCCTCCCCCGGGTCTCCCTCAGGTGTACCATGGGGAGCTGAACGGGGAGGCGGTGGCGATAAAGAAGGCGACGGAGAAGCACCGGCATGACGGGGCGGACTTCAAGAACGAGATCGAGCTGCTCACGGCCGTGTCGCACGGCAACCTGGTGAAGCTCACCGGCTTCTGCGTGGAGAAGGACGAGCAGCTGCTCGTGTTCGAGTTCATGGAGGGCGGTGCTCTGGACGCGTGGATCAAAGGTGTGATTGCCATCCAATATGCTTCGCATGTAGTGCCGCGCATGTGGTTGGATGTGTGGGTCACGGGTGCGCCTGCCAGTGGATTCCCTGTGGACTGGGATTGCAAGCAGCACCGGAGATGTTTGCTGTGCACGTCCTCTTGAGCATCTGTCCTCTTGAGCATCTGTCCTCTTGAGCATCTGTCCTCTTGAGCATCTGTCCTCTTGAGCATCTGTCCTCTTGAGCATCTGTCCTCTTGAGCATCTGTGCTCTTGAGCATCTGTCCTCTTGAGCATCTGTCCTCTTGAGCATCTGTCCTCTTGAGCATCTGTCCTCTTGAGCATCTGTCCTCTTGAGCATCTGTCCTCTTGAGCATCTGTGCTCTTGAGCATCTGTCCTCTTGAGCATCTGTCCTCTTGAGCATCTGTCCTCTTGAGCATCTGTCCTCTTGAGTATCTGCCCTCTTGAGCATCTGTGCTCTTGAGCATCTGTGCTCTTGAGCATCTGTCCTCTTGAGCATCTGTGCTCTTGAGCATCTGTCCTCTTGAGCATCTGTCCTCTTGAGCATCTGTCCTCTTGAGCATCTGTGCTCTTGAGCATCTGTCCTCTTGAGCATCTGTCCTCTTGAGCATCTGTCCTCTTGAGCATCTGTGCTCTTGAGCATCTGTCCTCTTGAGCATCTGTCCTCTTGAGCATCTGTGCTCTTGAGAATCTGTCCTCTTGAGCATCTGTGCTCTTGAGCATCTGTCCTCTTGAGCATCTGTCCTCTTGAGCATCTGTGCTCTTGAGCATCTGTCCTCTTGAGCATCTGTGCTCTTGAGCATCTGTCCTCTTGAGCATCTGTCCTCTTGAGCATCTGTCCTCTTGAGCATCTGTGCTCTTGAGCATCTGTCCTCTTGAGCATCTGTCCTCTTGAGCATCTGTGCTCTTGAGCATCTGTGCTCTTGCATTAGGTGCTGTGTACACCCAAGTGCCCCCCTCCCTGCTCCACTCCTCTTGCATGTGCCTTATCTTTTTCATCCTCTCATTCCTCTCAACGACCATCCCCGTCCTGTACACATCCAATCCCACGCGACCTGCTGGCTCTGCTGACGTGGACACAGGCAAGATGAGTCGCATGCTGACGTGGCGGGAGCGGATGCACATAGCTCTGAACGCGGCGAGTGCGCTGCACTACCTGCACCGGGAGATGCGGCCTGCCATCGTGCACCACGACATCAAGGTGGGCGGGACCGTGCCTCCTTGGCCTTCATACCATAATGAAAGCACAAGGCGGCATATTAGGAATGAAGTTTGGTGAGGCTTCTGACCTCGTCCATCCCCTCCATAACAGAATGACCTCGCAGGAGGCTCACTGGAGGCCGCTCCCCCTTCTGACCCCCCCTCAACCGTTGTCTTGTTACACGGCAGCCGGCGAACATCCTGCTGACAGCGGCGCTGGAGGCGAAGGTGGCGGACTTTGGCATCTCCAAGTCCATGCCTGAGAGGGGCGAGCTCGTGCCCGACGAGATCGTGGGCAGCAAGGTGAGATGCCATGCGGTGCAGTGCGGTGGGGTCACGGGCAGCAAGGTGAGATGCCATGCGGTGCAGTGCGGTGAGGCCATGGGCAGCAAGGTGAGATGCCATGCGGTGCAGTGCGGTGAGGTAACGGGCAGCTGGGTGAGATGCCGTGCGGTGCAGTGCGGTGGGGTCATGGGCAGCAAGGTGAGATGCCATGCGGTGCAGTGCGGTGAGAGGAGAGGAGGGGAGATGAGGGGGGTTGAGGGTAGGTGAGGGGAAGTGAGGTGAGAGGAGATGAGTGTGGGGATGAAATTGGAAGGGAGGTGAGTAGGGATGAGGGGAGAGGGGAGGAGAGGAGAGGAGATGAGGGGAGATGAGAGGGAGATGAGGGAAGGTGAGAGTGAGGGGAGATGAGGGGAGATGAGAGAGATGAAGGGAGATGGCAGGTGGGTGAGAGGGCGACATTTGACCCACACTTTGTGCATTCAACTCGTCCACCAACTCTCCACGTTACCACACCAACCCTTCCCCCGTTCTCCCAGCCCTTCCCACCATGCCTACATCGACCTGTAGTTCAGATGAGCTGACGGATCGCAGCATCGCCTCACAACGCCTCCTCCCATCCCTCCATCCTTCCACTCCTCCATTTCTCCCTCTTCCCCGCCCCCCTCCCCCCAGGGCTACATCGACCCATACTTCGTGCATTCAGGAGTGCTGACGGAGAGCAGTGACGTGTACAGCTTCGGGGTGGTGCTGCTGCAGCTCGCCACGGGGCAGCCAGCGCTCATCCAGCACGTGCCGCTCAGCCAGGTCGTGCTGCACCTCGCCTTCGGCCCCCAGGGCCTCTCCTCCGTCGTTGACCCGCGCCTCCACAACGCCCTCCTCGCCGCTGCCGCCGCCGCTGATGGCTCCAATGCTTCCGCGGCCGCCGCTGCTGCGGGTGTAGTTGCTGGCGGTGCGGGGGAGTGGGAGGAAGGGGGAGTGAGTGCGCGGGAGATGGTAGCCGGGCTGGAGGAGACGTTCAGCACGTTCCTGCGGATCGCGCTGTGGTGCACCACGGAGCACCCCACGCTGCGCCCTGACATGGAGCAGGTGGTGTCGGAACTGCGCAGCATCCGAGACCAGCTGGGAGCGGGGATGGCTGGGGGAGGCAGCAGCAGCAGAAGCCCGCGTGGGACCCCGAGTGGCTTCACCACGCCCTCGTCCTTCCACGGGTCGCTGCCTCCCCTTGACGCCAGTGCTTTCAGCAGCCCCAGCGTGACAGAGGAGCAGAGCATGAGCGGCACACAGGAGTACACGTGGAGCGGTTATAGCGCCGCACAGGGGCCTGCTTCTCATCCCAGCTATCCCCCTGCCACCTCTGCTGCTGGTGGTGGTGGTGGTGGTGAAGCGTCACCAGGGACCCACAGGCAGCAAGCGGCACAGCAGCAACAGGGCGCGGCACGGGGGGCGGGTGGATTGGCTCCCCTATGGGGCCCTGGCCTTGTCGCTGGGGTGCACCCCCCTCCATCCAGTGCCGCCCAGGGGGATGCGGCGATGGGAAGGGGGTACGCTGGGGGCGTGCCTGGTGCAGCTGGTGGAGTCACAGACGAGGAACAAGGGCACACTGAGACGATCACGGGGCCACGTGCTCGGTAGCTTGCAGGCGATTGGATTGGAATACAAATGGAGGGAGCTGAGAGGTGGGGTAATAAACCAGGCGTACTTGGGGTTGGAGTGATGCTGTCTTGTCCTCCACCTCCTCGCCCACCTGTACCTGGCACAGTCAAGAACTTCTCCCATCCTCCATGCTCAACGTCGACTCCCCCCATCTGCTATCCCGGCCTCATCACCATCTCTTCATCACTATTACCGCAAAGCCCCACATAGATTACTCCCCAGATAGAACACCAACGGGTATATGGTTGCACAATGACCTTTATTTCAAGTTCCCCCACCTATGTAACTCCTATGATTTCTTGTATTGCCTAGAACACCCTCTCCCTGACAATTTGAGATGGGGATGTGGAGTTGCAGGCGAGGGGGCGGTGCGTGGATTCTAAACCTCCTCCCAAGCCTTCGGACATTAAATAATAATAATAGTAAATCCAAAAGTCGTTGATTTTTTGAAGTACCGGTACGGTATCTATCAATTTTCGGTATCCATCAATTTTGTTATTGAGCTTGATATTTTTTTCGCTGGTCATAAGTGCTGAGGGGATGGACAGCAACCGCAGGCTAGAGACGGACGGGGTTGGGGTAGCTTCGCTGCTATAAGTCCTTAGTCTGCAACATTGTCGAGAGTCCCTTCTTTGCCGCTTGCTTGTCCACCCGTGGTATGGAGTGCGAGTTGAACATACAAGGTTAATAAGCAATATCTTTGGACCCAGTATTGTACAAAAATACGTACACTACCATAGACAGGGCCTCAGAAGTCAGGAATTTTACCCTGAATTCCTGAAGTTTGACCCCCGTTTTTTATCATGACCCTGATGCATCAGCCTTTTTTTTTTAACGACTCTGATGTTTCAGTGTTTTATAATTTCGAACTCTGATTTTCCAGTGTTTTGTGTTTGATGACACTGACGAGTCAGTGTTGTATCGGGGTCTACCCTGAAACCGAAAACTCCTTGTTTTGGCGCGCCACCGTGCACCGTGCACCAAGGTGATTTCTGGCGGAACATGCTCTGATAGGTCGAATCTCTTGTGTGAGAGGCGAATCTGCTGCTGTGTCAGGGAAAATCTGCTATGATTGGGCGAATTTGCTGTGCTGCGACAGCGCGAAACGACTGTGCCAGGGCGAATTTGCCGTCCAAATCATCAGTCCAAGTACACAACCAGAGATCAGACAAGATTTCTGACCAATCAGACACGGAGATAGCAAAATTCGGACCGAATTCGGGAATTGTAAAGTATGGGCAGTATGATTCGATGTGTTATGACAACATACCGGTATAAGCAACTATGCTGATCAGTGTTGAAGTTTTAGAAACCCTGATTGATCAGCGTTTTATTTCTAACAACCCTGTAAAATCAGTGTTTCACACCAGACGACACTGAAAATCATGTCAGAACATTATAGCTTATGCTGTTGTGTAGGCTATAGTGGGGTATCCCATAGGGGGTACAACCAATTAGGGTTTCATATTTGTACTCACTTCATTTCATAGTTCACTCATTCTTGTTCAAATCTTCTCATGGTATCGAGCAGGTTCCCCCTTGGGAACTGTGCTTAGGGCCCACCACATCGATTTTTTTTCCTGCCCGAAGCGCGCTCAGCCCGAGTCGCGCTCCGGGCCCTCACTTCGTCGAGCCGCCCTAGCGGCCCTGCACTGCGGCCCCGCCGCCTGTCTTCGCGGCCCCGCCGCCTCTCTCCTAGCGGCCCCGCCGCCCTACCTAGCGGCCCCGCCGCCCTACCTCGCGGCCTCGCCGCCCCATTGCGCGGCCCCGCCGCCCTACCTAGCGGCCCCGCCGCCCCATCGCGGCCCCGCCGCCCCATCGCGCGGCCCCGCCGCCCTACCTAGCTGCCCCGCCGCCCTACCTAGCGGCCCCGCCGCCCCATCGCGCGGCCCTGCCGCCCCATCGCGCGGCCCCGCCGCCCCATCGCGCGGCCCCGCCGCCCTTCCTCGCGGCCCCGCCGCCCCATCGTGCGGCCCCGCCGCCCTACCTAGCGGCCCCGCCGCCCTTCCTCGCGGCCCCGCCACCTTACCTGCGGCCCCGCCACCTTACCTGCGGCCCCGCCCTTACCTGCGGCCCCGCCGCCCTCTGCTGCGGCCCCGCCACCTTACCTGCGGCCCCGCCAGCTTACCTGCGGCCCCGCCACCTTACCTGCGGCCCCGCCGCCCTCTGCTGCGGCCCCGCCACCCTATCTGTGGCCCCGCCACCCTACCCGCGGCCACGCCGCCCTTACCAGCGGCCCCGCCGCCCTTACCTGCGGCCCCGTCACCTGCTGCCCAGCCGTGCCGCCCTGCAGCAGCACAGCCGAGCCGCCCAGCAGCCGAGCCGCCGAGCCGCCCAGCAGCCGAGCCGCCCAGCAGCCGAGCCGCCGAGCCGCCCAGCAGCCGGGCTGCCCAGCAGCCGAGCCGCCCAGCAGCCGAGCCGCCCAGCGGCCGCGCCGCCCAGCAGCCGAGCCGCCCAGCAGCCGAGCCGCCCAGCAGCGGAGCCGCCGAGCCGCCGGGCCGCCCAGCAGCTGAGCCGCCGAGCCGCCGCGCCGCCCTCCTTCAGGGCCGCCCGACCTGCCCAGTCTGGTGAGCACAGCGCCTTTTCACTGCACTGTCCTCACCCTACTGTTTGCGCTGCTAGTCGTCTAGGGTCATGGCTACCCCTAGTGTTCTCGCCTTTGACGCTGAAGGTAGGGCCATTGACTTTGAGGTCTGGGTAGATGACCTGCAGCTGTTCTTACAGTGCGATAGGGCAGACGGCCTCTCTCTCTTTGACCTCACCTCTGGCACCTCCACTGCCCCTGCTGCTGATGCTGACGCCACTGTTCGCTCCCTGTGGGCCACGCGCGACGCTGCTGCACGTCTTGCTGTGCGTCCCCACCTCCCTACCTCCGAGCGTGCGCACTTTAGTCAGTACAAGAGTGCTCAGACCTTGTACGACGATGTAGTTGCGCGCTACTCCTCCCCTGCCACTGCTGCACTGAGCCGTCTCATGCTACCGTACCTCTTTCCTGATCTTGCTGCCTTTCCCACAGTCACTGACCTCATTACGCACCTCCGCACTAGTGACACTCGCTACCGCGCTGCACTCCCTCCTGACTTCTGCGCCAGGAACCCCCCCCCCATGTACATCACTCTTTACTACATAGTCACTCGCCTTCCTGACTCCCTTCGCGTAGTCAGGGACCACTTTCTCTCTGTCTGTCCCACCACTCTCACTGTTGACCTCCTCGAGAAGTCCCTCCTAGCGGCCGAGAAGAGCATAGTCGCTGTAGGGGCCTCTCGTGGTGACCCGCGCACCCCCATCTTTGAGGGGTGTTCCCCCTCCCCCCTTCTGCCCTCTGTTGCCTCTGCTGCTGCGGCCGACCTCCTTGTTCTTGAGTCGGTCGGTGCGGCGTCTGCCCCTAGCGGGAGACGCCGCTCTGGCAAGGGCAAGGGGGGCAAGGGCGCTGGAGGAGCGAGCGGGGGCGGTGGAGGTGGTGGTGGCGGCAGTTGGGGGAGTGGGGGTGGCGGTGGGAGTGGAGGTGGGGGTGGAGGGGTCGGTGGCGGCAGTGGAGGTGGAGGTGGCGGCGGCGGTGGCGGTGGGAGCGGAGGTGGCGGAGGTGGCGGAGGTGGAGGCGGCGGCGGAGGCGGAGGCGGCGGCAGTAGCGGAGGCGGCGGAGGCGTCGGAGGCGGCGGGGGTGGCGGTGGTGCTGGTCGCGGGTCTTCGCAGAGGAGTGGCTCCGGTGGTGGCTCGCGCCAGCAGCAGCAGCGTGGTCGTGACACCCTGTCCCCTCAGCAGCTTCGTGAGTGGTACACTGCGCGTCAGCGGGGTGGGGGTTTTGGTCCGTGCTCCTACGTTTTGCGCACTGGCGACCGTGCGGGTGAGCAGTGTGGGGGTGCCCACCCCACCCAGCGCTGCTTTGGCCGCCTGACGGACGCGTGGCGTCACCGGTTCCCGGAGGCCTCCGAGATCCCTCGCTGGGGTGAGCTGTCTAGGGCGGGTGTTGCCATCTATGATCTTGACTTTGATGCTATTCTCTCTGCCATGTATGCTGTGTCTATTAGTGATGAGGGTGACTGTTACCGGTGTTTCCCGCCTGATCCGCCTTGCTTTGCAAGGGGAAGACTGTGGTGTAGCGCGTGTAGTCGTTAAGAACCAGAAAAAATTAGCGCTCGTGGTCCTGTCCACGGAAGCGGGCAGGGCGCAGACGTCCATGTGGAGAGTCTGCAGAGGAGCAGTGGTCGGAGGAAACGAGGAGGAGTGAGGAGCGGCGCGCTGCTGCCCCTCGACGCAGGGAAGGCACAGCGGTGCAAGCAAGCGCGGGAGAGGGGGCAGGGACCTGGGGAGGCCAGAGACAACGAGACGAGAGTGCATGCCACGCAGGCGCGGCAGGGAGGGGTTGTTGAGAAAAGTCCTGCAGGTGCATGGGTGAAAGCAGGGGCTTCCGTAGAAGTTGGACCAAGGAGTCCGCACGAGGTGAAGAAGTACCCCTGCACAGGATGTACCGAGGTACCTATGCACGAGGTACTGTGGGGTCCGCAAGCGCAGCAGCAATATCTCGTGCACATGTGCAGTGGGCGGAGCTCGTGCGGGAGTTCACGGAAGTTCATCTGCGCAGGGTCGCGTCTGACCCTGCGCACCCTCGCGAATGCACATTCGAATTTTGGAGAGAAATTCGATGTGCGCGAATTTCGACCAATGGGAGCGCCGGGAATTTCGACCAATCAAAATCTGACGGAAATTGTACCCGTCAGGGGAAATCGAACCAGTAACCAAAATGAACCTGCTACACGTTTTTGTAACAGCAAAAACGTACACACCTATGTCAGGTGTACAACCTGGGTAACTACTTAGTTAGGTGAAAAACACATGGGCCGTTTTTTCACCTACCATTGCTGAGTTGGAATGGCACATGCTTGGTAGTTAGCTAAACGTTCCTCTTGGAACGTTTCTGCAGGGTACCTTGTTCTAGTATATTGGGTCACTTGTTGTTGTACTATAGTTGTTCTTTCTTG